TATTTAGTAACTTACACGCCGGCGGGGCGCAAGCCCCAAAGGCTCAAGCGCTCGAAATGGGTTCCCTCCTAGAGGAATTCCTTCGCCAACGATGTCCCGAAGTGTGGGCAAACTTTCTCGCGTTCGCGAAAGAAAAATGTTTAGCCCGGCTTCACCGGCAGTCGCCTCGCCGTCATCTCCGGCGCCCTCAGCGCCCGCTAATGCGTCGCCTTCAGCGACACAAGAAATGCCCGTCGCGTCGACCTCCGCCACCGCGATTATACCCATCGCTACTTGCGCGAAAATAAGATAGGTTTTCACACCTACTCTTTGCCCGAAGAACGCAAGCTTCGGGTAGTTATCAAGGGCGTCCACAAAGAGTCGGATGTCGACAAGGCGAAAACCGACATCCGCACTCAGGGGTACCTTGTGCATGCCGTCCGACGCCTCAGACACCCCAGAACCCGTGTCCCTATGGACATGGTGATGGTTGAACTTGACCCTACCCCGGAAGGTAAGGCCATCTTCAACCTGAAGAGGGTCTGTGGGCTCAGCGACCTCGTGATCGAGCCCCCGCGAAGATCGGGAGTTGTGGCGCAGTGCCACAACTGCCAACACTATGGCCACACGGCTAATAATTGTTTCGCTCACCCTAGGTGCGTCAAATGCACCGGTGACCACGGCACGCCCGATTGTACGCGGCCAAAAGATTGCGCAGATTCACCGGACTGCGTTAACTGTCATACCACCGGCCACCCGGCTAGCTACAGGGGCTGCGCTAAGGCCCCAAAAACTCCCGCGAGAAAAGCTCCCGCGAAATCTACTTTGCCCAAACCCGCGCCCGTGAAATACGTTCCCGCGCCCGTACCCGTCGTAAACGCCTGGGCGAAACCCCAGGTGGCCGCGCAGGTAGTTGCGCCCCCGGTCACCTCACGACCAATCGCTCAATCGCAGCCCGCCTATCAAACGGCGCCGACGCCGCAGGTGCAGTCGACACCGTCGGTTTTCGCCGAAAACAAGGACGATCCGTTCGCCCAAATTGCCAACATCTGCGCCTTATTAGACCGCATTAATAGACAAGAACTCGCCGTATTGTCCGCTAAAATAGCGGCTTCCACATCTGGCAACGCGCGATTTAAAGCCATTAGCGAACATAAAATGCTTGTAGAAGCCCTCTGGACATTTACAAGCCAACCATAAACTTAATAGTCCGCGCAATAAAACCGCGCTCCGCCGCGTCGTTAGTTAGAACTCATAAAAAACTTTAATGGGAAGTACAACCGCAGGTAGAACAAAACCTCGGGCTCTGGTTGTTTCGTATTTCAGCGCAAACGGCATAAAGGGTCAAAGGGACGAAATCGCGAAATTCCTTCGCGATTATAACATAGATATTTTTCTAGTGCAAGAGACATTCTTAAAACCGAGTGTACGCGATCCCAGAATCGCAAACTACAACATAGTCCGCCACGACCGGTTAGCAAACCGTCTGGGAGGCACCTTAATTTATTACAAACGGTCCTTGCACTGTAGCCCGCTCGACATTCCAGAGCTAAGCCATATAGAGGCATCCGCGTGTAGGTTAGCGCTCACCGGCCATAGGCCGCTTGTACTAGTCTCAGCCTACCTCTCGGGGAACAAAACCTTATTACAAAGCGACCTACGCTACTCAACTTAGGGCCTTCCGTGATAATTGCAGGAGATCTAAACTGCAAACACGGCTCATGGGACATCCACAGCATCCCAAATAACAACGGAAAGCATCTCTTTAGCTTATCCGATAATTTAAACTTTAGCATAATTGCTCCTGCGACTCCCACTAGGTATCCTACGGTGGACAACTACCAACACGCGACACCGAGTATCCTAGATATCATGTTACTCAAGGAGGTCTCGCTCGACATCGAGTCGATAGGACGATCCATGAATTAGACTCAGATTACAGGCCCGTCCTGTGTAAACTGGGCCAGAACGCCGGCGCGGTCCCTCCGACCAAATCCGTAGTGGACTGGCATCGTCTTGAGGTCAAACTCAAGGCCTTGGACCCCCAGGACTTAGTCGACCTACCCGAGACGATAGCTACGTTCGATGACGCAAATCGAGCGATAGCAAGTCTCCGAGAAACCATCACTTCCACAGTCGCAGAATCGGAACGGACGGTTAAACTGTCGGGCGATCGACGGTTTAACTTTCCGCCCGACCTGCGACTCCTAATTAGGCAGAAAAATGCAGCCAAACGCGCTTTCGACCGATACCGATCGGAATCGAACCGAACCCTACTTCGACGCCTTCAGCTAGAAGTCAAAGATCGTGTATCGGAACACCGACATACAACGTGGGACACTCTCCTAGAGGACATCGAGCCATCGCACACCGCCTACTGGCGGTTGGTCCGCAGTCTGAAAGCAGACCCCCGCGAATCTCTACCGCCGTTAGTTAGACCTAATAGCGCTTCAGTAGCCCTAGATGACTCCGAAAAAGCCGAATGCCTTGCGGACAACCTAGAGCAGCAATGTACGCCATCGCGCGAACACATCGATACAGCCCACCTAACGGAGGTGGACCGCGTAATCGAGATTAGGGCTGCGCTTCCACCGGAAGGCGATCCTTTGAATTCAGTGACCCCCGAAGAGGTTCAAGATATTATTAAAAACTTAAAACCCAAATCCGCCCCGGGCCCAGATAATATTAGTAACAAAATTCTTAAAGCTCTCCCTGGGCCGCTTATCTGTTTACTGGCGACCATTTACAATACTTTACTCTCCAGTTGCTCCTTTCCAGACGACTGGAAAGAAGCCAGGGTTATCGGCATTCGCAAGCCTAATAAACCAGCCAACCAGCCCTCTAGTTATCGTCCCATCAGCCTCCTCAGTTGCCTGGGGAAGCTCTACGAGCGGCTTTTATTAAACAGGCTCAATGAGTACGTATTTTCCAACGGCCTTCTGCCGGCGGAACAATTCGGCTTTCGAGCTAGACATTCCTGTCCCGATCAACTATTCCGGCTAACGGAACATATCCTAAAAGGCTTAAATCACCCTAAACATATTAGTACAGGGGCTCTTTTCTTCGATGTCGCAAAAGCATTCGACAAGGTCTGGTACAAGCTGTACACACTCAAAGTGCCAGATAGGCTCGTACACACCATCCAGGCCTTCCTGTCGAACCGCTCTTTTCGATATCGAGTTGAAAGCACCCTCTCCACAAGCCGCCGCCTCACGGCCGGCGTACCACAAGGCTCCTGCCTCTCACCTTTGCTCTTTACGCTCTACACGAGCGATATACCTAAAGACCCCCACGTCAATCTCGCGCTTTTCGCGGATGACACGGCGCTCTTTTATTCAGACCGCAACCTTAGACAACTAACCACTCGACTCCAAAGCACTGCCGACCGCCTCGGCGATTGGTTCCGCAAATGGAGAATAGAAATAAATCCCGAAAAGAGTGTGGCGATTCACTTCACACGAAGTACTTACCCGTCACATCTTTATAATGGCCCTCGTCAATGCAGAAAGTTGGGGCAAATATCCCTTTATGGCCAACCGCTCCCCTGGGAGAAAAAGGTCAAATACTTAGGAGTCACTTTCGACTCGCGTATGTCATTTACTACGCACATTAATAACGTTCGCAATAGAGCCGCGTTCGTCTCCGGCCGGCTACACAATTTAACTAACGCTAAAAGTAAAATGCCTTTAAGGCACAAATTATTATTATATAAGACCTGCGTACGACCTATTATGTCTTACGCATGCATGACCTTCGCCCACACGCACCCTACTCGCTTGTACAAGTTGCAAATAGTACAAAATAAGTTCATCCGCCGCGCAACCGGTGCGCAGTGGTATCAACGCAACGTCGACCTGCACAACGATTGCAGAATCCCGACGATTCACGAATATTTTAAAGACCTGACCAAACGGTTCTTCGATAGAGCCGAACATCATCCCAACCCTCTGGTGGTAAGCGCAGCAAATTACCAACCTGACCAAAACGCGAACGTCAACAAGCGTCGCCCGCGAAACGTCCTAATCGACCCGGTCGAGGAAGGGGACTTAGACACGCCGGACCCACTGCCGGGGGTCCCGCCGGACAACACTACACCCACAGTTAGTGCAACAACAAACACACTAGTTCACCCTCGCCTCCGAGCACGGCGAGACCAACACAACGCGTACACAAGGTACACCCGCGTTCCAGGGCGGTTCTCACCGCCCCCAGCCACCGATTAGCTAATTGCACAGTCGACGGCCATCGGGGTTTCGGTCCGAACCACGACCTCGATGGCCCTTAGATGACACACACATGACATGCGTGGCCCTACCCACAGCGGAGGGCCCAAACCCGTGCGTTCTGGCTAGCCCACCGGTTCTGCGTCAGATGAAGCTTTAATAGTCTCGGGACTGAAAGCAAAAACATCAGTTAATACAAGATACAAGACTATTGAGAGACTATGAACGGCTTGCAGGGTAGTGTGTGAGCTATATCCTACTTTGCAGTCCTGCACGGTGGACTGCCAGGCAGGATAGTGAATGGGCCCCAAGAAAGTAACAAAAGTAACGAACTTTAAATTTCATACAAATTTTGTTTAAACACTTTTTATAAGACCAACATTTTCACTGCAATGAAGGATATTGCAATATTCCACTCATGTAGAAATTATGGCAAAAATCTTTGCGCTATTCACTATACATAACATTTTTTAAATAATATTTATAATTTTTTTAATAATATTAATTTATAAGGGGGTTTTAGGGGTTTTTTGCCTTTTATACTTTTAGGGACGAATATTTTCGAGAGTTAGTAACACTGCTGTTTTCTCAATCAATTCCTTGATGCTTACGCTGTTGTCATATTAATATTATTATTTTAAAAAATAATTATAAGTCAACAAATTTCCTCGTTGCACTCTCAGAATTTTAAACGCATAGCAAGTTTTGAAATATTGTACATGGTTATTACTATTTGTAGTAAAATTTACTTTTTATCTATTGGCGCCATTGATCGATGTTTATGGTTCGGGTTCGTGCATGCGTATTGCGTTGACATTCTTGATCTTGTTCAATACACTCTGGTCGGCCATATTTCTCTGTCGTCGTGCTCGTGCGTCTGTTATTGAATCACATCTCAAGATCTTAGGTAATTATGATCTCATAACCTAATAATCGTAATTTGTTTTAAATCGACATTTTATATACAATGATATGAAATAATGAAATAGTATGATTGTTTACCAATTATGTACTGGAAGTCAGTATATACTTGCCACCTTGACTGACTCCCCCCGAGTCTTGTGGATTAAGTGTGTATCACAAACAGGTGACTAAAACACGAGTTGTCCGAGTTTATTATTTTGTGTAACACGCGAAATTCGAGTTAATATATGTGATGACTTGGATCGATATAAATCGCTGAGTAAATTTTCTATTAGACCTCTCGCGGGTGGGTACCTAATACCTTTATAAATCGATACTCTTTGTTCATTGTTGAATAAATGGAAATGTTTGATTAAAATGGAATGAAAATGTTTGATTATGTGATTTATTTTGTGTCGATTTTGCGTCTTGTGATAAAAAGAGATTTTTCCTAAGTTTTTGACATTAGCCGAATTTTATAAAGTTTCAAAAAATGTAAAGGCTCTAACGGCTTAGCAGTGAGAAAGAAAAATGAGTGTAGTAAAATTAATTTGGTTTTTTCTGAATGCCTTTTTTGAAATTTTACTTTTTATGAAAAGAATACATATTTAGGTACATTTTGACAATTTTATAAAATAGGTAGTTTTACATTTTAGGAACACCCATCTAAGGCGTGGTTCTTCTTTATACCAATGTCTATGCAATAAGTTGTATTATTTTTTATTGAACAGTTCCCATTCATTTTATTCTTGTTCACTTTGAAGATTTAATAACCTCTTCCAATATTTTTAAAAACATACAATTTAAGGAGGATAGTATCTTTTTTCCTTTCTTTATTTCTTATTAATTTGTAGAAGTAAATATATACAAATCTAATTGTATTACATACATATTAATCACTGGAAATGTAGGCACAAGATTACTCTTAAGGTTTTAATAATATGGCATTTGCATTTATTTTGCCAAGCGAAATTAATTATCTGCCTTTTGCTTGCGAATTTAATTTATGCCCATATATTTTATAAAATCCTTCATAAGATATAGAAATATATTTTACAGTATATAGGTTTATAAAGTGAAGATTATACTTTAATAATTTTATTTTTGTTTATATCTGCATTGCTCCAGATCTGGTTGCTTGCTTCCCAAAGAGGGTTGACATTAGGTAGGCCGGTCGTAAACACCAACACCCCACAAAACTACTTAATAACATTATTTACATGTTGTGCTGACCTTACTTAGGTGGGATAAGGACATGAGGATAAGGACATGACATATTGATTATAATATATCCACATGACAATTGCATGTATTTTTTCGCTTGTGGTTAGGCCTATCAGCCTTCATTAGTAATCTAAAGATTAATTTTGCAATAATGCCATCCAAATATTTGTTCATAGAAATAAAGCTTCAACAAATCCATAAGTAAAGTTTCATTAAGTTCCTATTGAATTCAGTAGATAATTTGTTTTTGGATGTTTTAATTGTATATGTAGGATTTTGCTGCTAAATACCAATGCGAAATCTAATAAATTTCGGACCAGCGCTAACAGTAATGTAATTCCAGTATAATTTGTTTTATCTTGCTATTAGAATTGAGATGTTTTTGAATCCTATATTACCATTCTTAAGGCCAAAGAGTCATATTTATTGTATTGTCCTTAGTAGTAATTCATATTGTTGCAGTTGCCGCTGCCCCCGAATTGTGCATTGCATATTCCCAACTAATACAAATCATCAAAATGGGAGACCGCAACAACCCTATCAAGTTTGGTCCGGAGTGGTTGCGTAATTTATCCCAAGAACGTAACACTGGTGGATCTGCAAATAATAATCAGAATCCTCCAAACTCTGGAACATTGACCAACTCTGCACCAACTGGGTCTGTTCTGGGATCCACAGTTTCTTCAGGGGCTTTGAGTCCCCCAGGGCCTCCTGGAGCCATGGGGGTTACAGTGAGTCCAGGAGGTACAACAGCACAAGGAGCAGCAGGTGGCTCAACATCTAATACCAGTGCATCTACAGGAGCATATCCAAAAACCACCACAAACAATACAGCTCCAAAAATACTACTTGCCAACTTGCGGTAAGTGTTCTTTTTGTGTATCTTTCACTGGTAATATGCAACAAAATTTTAAGTGAAGTTTAAATTTTAACTGATTTTTCATGTTACACATAAAAGATATGGCCAAAAATTAATGGTTATAATTATAACAATATATTAATAAATAATTATAACGAATTAAATAAATTAATTTATTGATATTCCTGTATACAGGAATATGTACATGTTTTTTTTTTAATTTTAAGATTAAGTTGTGCGATACCAGTAAATAATTTTTATGTGGATGTGAGGTAATCAAGCTTTTACTCACATTCACATGATGCCTTTGTTTATTTAATTTTCTCTAATTAGGTCCAGCTTCCATTAACTCGAAATGATTTGTAGAAATAACTATAAGTACAAAGTTAGTAAGTTCTACATGTATCTAATATAGACTTATTTATTGTGAATTGATTTTACTATTTAGGTATGGAAGAGAAGAGATGTTGGCATTATATGACAGATCTGCTGAAGCACCTGAAGAGTTGAAGTACTTTGATCTATTGTATCAACCAAGGGGAAAGCCACCTGCTGCACTAAATAATACATTTGAGGAAGAAATGGTAGGATTGCTATTAACCTGTATTGCTTTGTATAACTATAGTACATTCAGAAAATATCTTTTATTTTACAAACATATTTTGACTAGAAAATAAGCACTGCCCTAATTTAAAATATTACCTTATATAGCGAGACAATATTCGTGGAGGGCCACCCACTGGGGGAATGCCATCAGCGGACAGGTTTGGAGTGGCCCGTGGGGGTGGTCGTGGCTCAAGCAATGACAATCGTGGACGTAGTCGCACGCCGTTTAGTCGACAGGGACAATCTGGCAGGTGAGAACCGTGAAATTTTTTGGAAGACAATTTTTTAAAACTAGTGTTATCCAAGATGTCTAATATGCTCAGTTTGCAACAATTGAAATATAATGTGGAATAAAAACTAATTATTTTTACGAACTCTATTGACATTATTTTAAACTAGATTTAGATCAACTTTTTTTATGGGTTGATTGAGCCCATAACAAAGTTGATTTTATTTATTTAATTCCATACATATTTTGCTTATTGTTATACTCAAGTCTACAAATCTACAACTAATTAAGTATTACAAAAAAGAATAGTAAACACAAAGCAAACTAAAAAAGCACAATGTTAGGTCTAAAAATTTTGTTGTTGGTAAGAAGTTCAAGTGCTATTTAGTTTAAAGGCATTGTTTCCATTTATTGTATTTGTGAAATTTTTTAAGATAGCTAATGAGTATGTTTTATTTTTAGGGGTAACTCATGGCATACAGGACATGCAAGGCAACCAGGGTATAACACTGCATCTGATGAAGATGGAAGTCCACTCCGGCCCTGGGGAGCTAATAATGGTAATCCTTCCCAAAGAAATAACAATGAACAACAGGAATGGGTTCCAAACAAAGTTTTTCGAAGGTAGGAAATGTTTGTATATTTTAGGTTTTATTAACTAGGACTCTTAAGACTTATATTTTACATAGTTATTTTAAATTTCCATCACTTTCTTTTTTGTTACATTAATAATGAAGTTTATCATTATTATGCATAACACTAAAAATTTCTTTGTGGCAATTACCCATTTATCAAAACTAAACCAGCTTCTTTTTTATTATTTGCTCTACAAGAATTTTATTAACTATCATGCTGGTGGATGTCTATAAATTTCAAATTTGGTTCAAATTTGGTATAAAAGTTCTCCAGGGTCTCACTATACTCTTTTTAAACTACAGTCAATTTACTGTATTCTTGTTCTTTTTTCATATTATTCTGTTTTATATTATTCTATAGTATTCTGTTTTTATTTATATTTCTTGCAATGTTTTGTAATGATAAAAATTTTAGTTGTGTATTTAATATAATATTAGCTGCAATTTATTATACATATAAACCTTCCTTGTGAATCACTTCATCTAGTTAAAAAAACCGGGTCAAAGTCCGTAGCGTAGTTTTAAAGATCTAAGCATACGTAGGGACAGACAGTGGGCTGACTTTGTTTTCTACTATGAAGTGATATAACAAAATCTTATTTCAAAATATTTTAACTGTTGAAAATTTGTGGGTAACTTTTACATTAATGATGTTGAATTATGATGAATATGAGTAGGCTTGATAAATCTATATTGTAGATTTGATGGAGTTTTTGGGGTAGTTTTTTAAATAGGTACAATAATAAAGAATGAGAAAAGACCGATAAAAGAATTATACAGCTTGTCGTTACAACCGCGACAATAAATGAAAACACGTCTAACGCTACTTGCCAATAATCCAAAAAAAATGTTTAACTTAAAAAAATCCTTATTTAAAAAAAATATTTTTCAAAGAAATTAATTAAATAAAAAAGAAACATAATTTGTAACACCTATACAACTACAACTGACTGATTCATACATTCAGACACTTTTTCATTTGTTGCCGCAATGGCGCATTACAAGTCTCTGTCAGTATGTTTTATCTCTTTTAAATTCATTCAACCCATTCATAATATGCTCTCTGACCTTTTTCTTTACTTTTACAAATGAACTTTACGTTACAATTTTATACGTAAGGATGTTCTAAAAATGTTTGTTTGTATAATTTAATAACTCTGTAAATATTGATGTTTAAAGAATGTAAATACTTAATAAGATTTTAGACAGATAGAGGTATGTATATACCTCATAGCTATATACATATATATATATATATATAGTTATCCGTTCTAGGAGTTGTTTGATCCAGCGTTACGTATGATCAGTTTTTTGTTGATCCGCTCAAATTTGTTGATCCATACCCGATTTGTTGATCCAATACCATATGTATGTGATTTAGTGGCTCCATTCGGATCAACAACTTCTCGTCAATATCTTTTTGAAAGTAGCTACAATTTATACAAATCCACTACGTAGTTATTTGATCCAATTCAAACGGACGAATCACAGATCACAGCAGCATTAATTGGTTGAAATCATCACTTTACGTCAGTGCCTACTTATTAAGAAGAATTACTGTATCTTGTGAATGTGATATTTGTTGAAATACATGCATTAAAGGGCCAGCAATATCTAGCACTCGCGCGCTTTTCAGATTCACGTGCAACACAACCATTATATTTTAATGTAAATTCGCTGCGTTATCAATATCTCGGTAATCGGTATCAAAACTCAACTGTTAATTATTTAATTCACGTATAAAATGAATGTACTTCTACTTCAATATTTAAAAAATAATGTTGAACAATAAATAAGACTTGGGAGTGTTCTAGTCGTATCTTCAATAGTTTATAAGTAATTTTAATAGCAATGGAGAATACCTGATAGGTAACAACAAGTCCAAGTGTACAATAATTTTAAAAATTATATAAAAAACAGAAAAAAAATAAACAAAATTTATCGTAATTCGTTTGTTTATAATTATAAACAAGCGTCTGTTCACAAAACCAATAAAAATGAATTAAATTATAATTTTTTCATGATGTAACAACGTGATAAATTATGATTTTATTAAAATGGTTTCATAATGTTAACACTAAGCAACAAAAAATTGTAATTTAGAAAAAGCGTACTTAGCAGTGAAAATTGTTTTTCTTAAATGTCATATTTTCATCATATTCCTAAAAGAAAAAAATTGAAAATCTTATCAATGATGTATTTATTTATAATAATTACAATTCAAGTAATTTTTTTAAAGGAACAGAATAATCAAAAAATTTTAAAAAATCTTGATTGATTTATTAACGTTTTTCATATTTCAATGCCTAAGATTGCTAATAAAACAATGAAAAATTAGAATTATTTTTGGCAATCTTTTCTAAACTCTTTCAAGAAGTGACAAAAATATTCTGGGTTAGACTACATAGAAATAATCTTAATTTTTTTCGTCCTCTTATTATTTATTCATGTGTCTAGAAAGAACTATATTTTTTATTCCTTAATATTCGATTTTATTTGGTTAAAATAATCTTTTAGAGTCCCTTTTGATGTAAAGATTTGTCCGATAAATCGCACATTATTTCTTAACAAATCTAATTTTAACCCACTGAATAGCACTAGCTTAAATAACACTATTGAATACATAATAAATAATAATAATTTGTTCTCTTGTAACCAAACTCATATTTGATAATGAGTTGAGCAATGACTTGTAATTACAAATTTAAAATTAAACTAAAATATTGTCATCCTCGTCTCTTTAAATAAATTTTCACACTACATCATTTGTCGCATTACATTGCAACCATTGTTGATCCGTTTCCTAGTTGCAATAGTAGCAATATATTGTGCAACTAGCTTGCGCCCGCGGCTTCGCCCGCACATTATATCGTGCTTAAAAATACCTATGGAACCCTTCGTGCGCAACTCCAACTCGCACTTGGGCGTTTTTTTTTAACTTTATATAAACCATCATTTTACAGACCATAGTTAACTATAGTTTCATAGTACAAATCTACAATGTGGTTCTTTAATTTGATATAACAATTTTATTTATCATCCGACTTAAATAAAACTAACAATAAATGTTAAGAGAAGCTTACTACAATGCATTTGTAAAAGTTGCACTGAAATCGGAAAGGCCGTATTAGCCAAGTTAGCGCACACAGACAAACAGATAAACAGACAATAATTTTAACTATCATTGTTTTGGGTTCTACTGCGTTGATAAAGGCCCCTAATAATGGTTTTTCTCAAATATCTTCTAAGTACAAACAACAATCAGTTAAATTTGTATTAAATGTATGATATTCTTTGAGCTCATAGTTCGCCGCTGCTTCAGTTGCTTAAATCAACTCGGGATAATATTTGGATGCCTACTTAGGAGTACAGCATTTTGGGCTTCACCTCAATCGAATTAATACAGGCTGCATGTGCTAACAAGCATAACAACAAAACGATACACTTTATAGTAAGTAGGTATTTTGATAATGTCCCAAGGATTCATTAATATCAAGCGATAATATCTACAATATTAAAAATATTTATTCACTAGCATCCTATGGTAAACTAATAAGAAATAGGGTTTAACCATCTCTTTGTCAATTATATTTATCTAGGTTATTATATTCGACATATAGTAATAGTTTACTCAATAGAAAATGTATATGGAAATTCAGTTCTTATTACAAACACTGTGGGATTAATTTTACGAACACTGACGTCGAGCTGCGTATGCGCGCTCACAGGGATCAAGAAATGTTTAAAAAGTGCCTGAGAAAAAACCGTTACGCGGAACCACAAATACTTTGGAAAAGTATAAAACAATGGTTAGAGTATATTGCTGAATTTAGAAATATGTCTAAGCGACACTACGCTGTTCAAATATATGCTTTCCTGCAAAGATATTTGGATAGAAAGGTGGATCAACAAAGTACTCTTTTAATTTTGCTGGATCAAACAAGTTATGGAAAAGGACTATATATATATATAGTCTATGTGAACAAATATATTTTTGATTATCATTGTGTTTTTTGATGATATTTACTAAGAGGTAGACCGAGGCTCCCTATGAGTGATAAGTGGGTGAGTTTATTTATTTCTAAACATATACAAATGAATATATAAGACATAAAACAAAATTATGATGATCTACATTTCCATCTTATACTTTGCATAACATGATCTGGAATATGCTTGGTCTCATTGTAAATTGGATTCAATAGGTAGCAAATTGAACTTTATATTGGCACAACAGGTTGATGAAAACAAGAAGGGTGTTTGTAACGATACTGGATTCTGAATATTAAGAAGATTATTCCGATAAATTTAGAGTTTAGCTATCTTTTTGGCAATTTAAAAGCTATTTGAAAATCCATTTGACAGCTGATTAGCAAATTTTTATGATGATAAGTGTTACAGACACCGGGTGTGAATGTCTGCTCTGAATTTGATATAAAAGCACTAACATACACTACAATGCTATATTAAGATTCTGTTTATTTTTTGAAGTGTTGATGATAGCTATTTTCAATTGACAAACGACAATGCCTTATTTTTATGTAACATTGCCCCACTAAAAATGGTCATGTCCAGAAATCATATTAACATCATCATAATATTATCTTTAATAAACTATCAAAAAATACTAACAAATTGGTCAATTAAAAATGAAATCGAAAAAACTCGCGAGTGGAAAGATATTTAAAAAAATGTTAATAGACAACAATGAACAGTAACTTTTAGCTTACTTGATTTATTCTTGTTTTTTGAGTTGGTGCTGTTTTTTTGCTTTTACCAGAAAAGATAAAGTTATATGTGTATTAAAAATGCATTACATCTCTCAAATCCTATAAAATATGTAGTGGCTATATTATTTAACAATATATTTCTGTCAGAAACAGAATATATGGTTTTTCTTAGTACTAGTTAGTAGCGTCATTATAAAATGTAAATAAAAAAACATCTGAAGCCTAACCCGCCTCTTAGAATTTTTTGTCACAACTGTCACAATAAAACTTAAGTATTTGATTGGGTAATGAACCCAGGATTTTCTAATCAACTAGGTGTCTAGTCTCTGTAGAGATTCCGTTAGTCTAGTATAATACATGAATTTTTAATCAAATGAAATTTAATTTAAATGTTAGAGTAATAAATTATAACAATATGAATTGTACTATTGAATGGTCAGTAAAATAAGTAATTAATTAATATACGTAATTATAAATAAAAAATTAATTTATTACATCTTAAATAGAATATAATAAAAAACATGAGTATGAAAACTTATTAAATCTAAATATTCGTTTTTTTGATGTAAATCAAATTAAATCATTTGCATCCAAAAAACCTCCAGTTTCACATACAAGAAATTTTTTTTTAATACTTTAAAATCTCATTGACACAGAAATTAAAATATTCAAGTGTGGGAGAGATGATTGAATTGGTGCTTGTTGGTTGTTGGTGTAGTTGTGAGGAGGAAACAAATTCTTAAAATCCTCATGTTTTCTGAATCCTCATTTAGTTTGCTTGTCGAATTTGCTTGTCTCCTGTAGTTGTGACACACATTAATTAGCAGTTATTTGTCTAAGCATTCATAGAAATATAATTAGCATAAAAATTAAAGGTCAACATCACCATACACAATGAAACCAACAGTATGGATTACACAGTAGGGCAGTATTTTTTATACCTGTAATGGTACGTTGTAATAAATTTGACACAAATTATCTTTAAGTGGTAAGAAAGTATTCTTCATTGCATATTACCTAAACAAAATATACTTAAAACAAATAAATATGTTGACTACAATAATATGTTGGAAATACACAAAAGACTGCTTTATCATTTTTATCGAAGTTTGAAGTTTCATCCAGATGAGACATGTTTGTTCAATTTTTAAATCTAATGTTATTAATCAGAGATGTAATGATACATGATATGTAATTCATATGTATATATTATTAACATATGTTATTCATAGCTTGCAGTGTTTAATGGCATACAAAAGCAATTTCACTTGTGCAGTATGATGACCCAGAAAGTCGAATTGAATGATACTAGTTGCGAAATGTCAATGGTGAATGTTAATAAATTAATTAATTATTGCTAATGTCCACCTTACTTAAATGTTATTGACCAATAAGAACTTGTCAGTAAATGTGAACAACATACTATTAATTTATGGTTGCGCCTGTATTCCTGTTAAATACCAAAATAAAATTCCATTACATGATAAAGTTAAAAGAAAGGGTGTTTCTAATGACTGTTTCTTATGGGTGTTGTATGCTATTATTTAAGTAGAACCAACCTAATTATTGTATTGTACTATTGCAGCCGTGTTAGAATATGTATAATATGTGTACTATTATTTTATGAATTTGCTTTCGATAACTTATTTTAAATGAAAACTACATTATACTACGGTTTTTCCCCAAAAAAATGCCATTCTATTCCCTAAAAAACAGAAAATGTTGATAACGCAATTTATACAAAATTATTTATGTCTAGAATTTCATTAAAAAAATGGATATACTTAGAAAAGCTATATACAGCGTGTCGTTACCATCGCGACAATAAATGAACACACGTCTAAGCCTACTTGCCAATAATCATAAAAAACTATTAACGTTAAACAAAATCCATAATTAAAAAAAATATTTTTCAAACTAATTAATTAAAAAAAAAAAATTTGTAACATCCTATACTACTCGCGCCACAGCATCGCATTACAAGCCTCTATTTCTAACAGTATGTTTTGTCTCTTTTAAATTCATTCAACCAATTCATATGCTTTGTGACCTTTACCAATGAATGAACTTTACGTTACAGTTTTATACGTAAGGGTGTTCTAAAATTCTTTACTTTTGATAATTTAATAACTGTAAATATTGATGCTTAAAGAATGTCTAATAAATAAATGTTTAATACAATTTTAAAAAGTTATCCCCTATATGTGTTTTCATTTATTGTCGCGATTGTAAAGACACACTGTATATTGTAAAAGCATTTTCATTTACTTTAATATATGTATGAGGTTTTTCTGGACATAGCAAATTTGGGCATTGTTATTAACAAAAAAAAAAAAAGAAAGGTAAAGGTAGAATTAGCATAGCTTACTAAATAGCTCAATGTTGGTAAATTTATGTCTTAATATAGAAAAAAGTAACACGAGCACACACAATGTTTTACAAGAGCAGTATCTGCTATGTGGCCATACTATAATTGAATGCGTTATTTATATATGAATTTACATCAGATTCTAGATATAATCAAAATCTGTAAATTAATATAAGATATTTGAAAATTGACAATTTGTATCTAACTTGGCAGTTAGATTGTAAGTAATTCTCTCCATACGTATGTTTGGTGCGAAAATAAGGTTTTTCTCTTTATTATGTTTTTAATAGAATTAAAGAAATACTTATAAGGCTATTTACTGTCTACATGTAAATTGACATGTCACACAAATATTATTTTGCTTCAGACGTCAAGCTAATAACACCAATTGGCGCCAACCGCAAACTCGGGATGAAGGTGATGAATGGAGATCAGGGGATGCAGCGCGAAATCGGCCTAACGTCGATAAGTGGGGTAAAAAAAACAATATGCTAGTAGAAAAAATACAAACATGGCTTAAATATTAATCCTATATTGGATTCAAATTCAAATGAAATGAAGATGACTCCGCGGCGCAGTTGTCAACTTATCGGCTTCGGCGTCGGGGTCGTGGGTTCGATTTCCACACGGGACAGCTATTTGTGTAACCCACAAATAGTTGTTTCGCATCTGGGTGTTTGTCCGCGTGAAATTTATTGTGAAACGTCCTTACAACACAGGATACTGATATCCTAAAGTAAGGGCAATGTTTTTAAACAAAAAAAAAATATCAAATCAGATTCAAATCATTTATTCATCGAAATAAGAAATATACATTTCATTTATCGATAGTAATTTTTAAATCTACCGCCGTTTCGTAATGAGGTTTCTCTAACGGAGAAGAAACAGGCGAAAGAAACTCCGTAGGTATCCTCTTTTTTGGCATTTTTTTACTCGACAAATACATTCTTATACAGTACATATTTTTTTTTTAGAAACAGGTCGCTCCTAATCATCATCTCATTCCTAGGGGTTATTATCATTAATGTATTTATTTATATTATAATTACTCTTTTTAAAGTTTTTCTTTAATAAATTTCTTAAACCTGTTAATAGACAGGCTTTGCACATTATCTGGGATATTGTTGTAGAAGTGTATACACCGTCCCATGAACGAGTTACTGACTATGGAGTCTAGAAACTGGTGTTACAAGCTTGTGTTTGTTCCTAGTGTTTACATTATGTACATCAGTATTCTTATTAAAATTATTAATGTTTCTATGTACATACATACATTCATATATAAATTGAGAGACCAAGGTTAAAATATTTATTTCTATAAATTTCTCTCTCAGAGATGCATTCAAATTAAGATTGTAAATTACTCTTATTGCCCTTTTTTGCAAAATAAATATTGTTTCAACGTCGGCTGCATGCCCCCATAGCAAAATACCGTATGACATTAAATTTTGTATGACATTAGATTTGCTTCAATGCTGATTGTGTTTTGTTTTAGATCGAGATTGGGGAGACAGGCCTGTACAAGACAGGCCCCAGTCATGGAATTCAAATCGTCGGCCATGGGTTGGTGGGGAAGGACATAATGATGACAATCTACCAGAATGGTTAGTATTAAACACTACTACTTCACCAAGCTTGGTCTTTGGATTATTGACAAAAGTTTATTTTACATGTGTTTAATTTTAGTTTAGCTGAATTTATCCATATAATTTATTAAATCCCATTAAATGTAGGTCATGTGCATGTTATAAAATTTACTAAAATAAGATACAGTATTAATAAGAATTATTAAGACAAATTTTAGTTTATACTATATGTTACTTTTTTTTCTTTCTCCTGCCCATATTCTATACTGCCCTTTCCACTTTCGTCTATCAGCCGTCATGTAAATACTGGCAATATGTTACTATTTTATATAAATATTCTAGGGCCGTGGATAGTGCAGAGACTGGCGCAGGAACATTTGACTCCACCGGAGCATTTCACGGTTATAGCAATGACGACACTAGTTTACCCAAGACGCAGGATACGCCATTTCGTAAGTTATTTTGTTGATCGTAAAGTTATTATTTTTATAGGTTGCCTTATACTGTTGAATTAATTTCATATTAATTAATTAATGAATTTTAATTTATTATCATATAAATTAATCATATGCTTGATTGCAGCACTGGTACGTTCTCATACTCATGGAAGTTTCGTGCGTTCCAAGAATACTGAAGAAGGTTCTGAAGAATGGTGGGCTTCAGAGAAGGCAAAAAAACTCTCACCTAAGAGGTTTGATGCCAGTGAGATCAAATTCAAAAAGGTATTCCTTGAAAAAGGAAAAATCAGTAGGTTTTTATGAAGTACACTAAAATCATTTTTGTAATTTGATGACTATTGGATAATTTTTCAGCCACCTAATACCCCAGTAAATGAAGAAAATAACAGTGTACCTAAAACTGATGAAAGCGAAACAGAAGAAGAAACAAATACGAATAACGAAGAAGAAAATAATGTAGCAGAAAAATTGGAAGGAGCTGCTGCAATTGCTTCAGAAACCCATGAGGAAGTGAATACTAGTGATGATCAAAAAAATGCTTTTAAACCAAAATTCACCGAGAGTAAGACGTTTGATGCCCTCATGAGATCTGATATTGACATGGAGGAAGTCAGTGACGACAGAGGAAATTTTCAGTCTGTTATGATAACGCCAACAAATAGCTTGCGGCAGAAACATCAAAATTTTGTTGCTTCTGCCACTGAAAATACTGTTAGACACGGGCATATGGCAGTACTGCGGATGCTGCAATCAATGTCACCAAACAACAAGTAAAATATACTTAATTAATTATTGTATTAATTGTTTTTTACTTTTTCCATAACTTATTTTAATAATTTTTTTGTAGTGATTCTTGCCAGTCACCTGAAGATAAACTGGTGGAGGATATCTTCGATCTAACCCTTGAGGAGACCACTGTTCCAACATCAAATGTAAATGCAGTTAATTCCAATACTTCTAACAATCTATCTGATCATCGATTGCCAAAGCAATTGACATGTGGTGGTATACCTATTAGCATACCGAGTCCTGGTATGCCAGGCCATGTTTTGACAATGACATCCACAATGTCGACATCAGTGTTGCAAGGAACTACTTTACCCACATCTGGTGTGCAAACTGTTGCAATGCAAGCCGGCCTATTGCAAGCTGGTGGATTACAGGCAAGAGATATTCAAACAAGTGTAATGCAATCAGCCAACATACAACAAGGTGGTATCCAAACTGGAGGAATGCAAGCAGGTAGTATGCAACAAGGAGGTATGCAATCAGGAGGTATGCAATCAGGAGGTATGCAATCAGGAGGTATGCAATCAGGAGGTATGCAATCAGGAGGTATGCAATCAGGAGGTATGCAACCTGGAGGAATGCAACCTGGAGGAATGCAACCTGGAGGAATGCAACCTGGAGGAATGCAACCTGCAGGAATGCAACCTGGAGGAATGCAATCAGGGGGAATGCAACAGGGAGGTGGAATGCAACTTGGAGCCATGCAGATCTTGCAGCAGGGTCTTTTGCAACAAGGCGCTATACAACCGGGTGCAATGCAACAAGGAGGAATGCAGGCTGCTGGAATACAGGCGGGAATGATGCAATCAAATGTCCTTCTGTCTGGTGGATTGCAAGTGGGTGGTATGCAACCTGGTGGGATTCAACCCAGTGGCTTGCAAGTATTGCAAACAGCCGGTTTACCAACACCTGGAATGGCAACACCTGCCCTACAGAATGTTGCAATGCAAAACACGGCTCTGAATTCCTCTTTGGGGCTTGCTATTGGATCTGGTAATAATGGAATGGTACTACCAATGCAAGGCGTGCAACCGTCTGTAATGCCAAACTCGCCATTGTCCAATCCTGGCATGGGTGCGACATCATTACAACGTGGATCTGTTATGCCTGGTTTCCAACCAGCCAGTGGGTTGTCTGTCATGACTGGTGGTAGTTCCCTATTTATGGGGCAGAGTAGTAATCCTGTAAGTAACTTAACAAATAGTAACACTTTCTTTAAAATTAAATATAGCATTCTTAATAAAAAAATGTCATTATTTTAACTACCCATACAACAATAGTAATAGTATGTGTATAATAGGCAGCTTGGTTTCATAATGTTAAAGTATTTTTTTTAATATTAAGTAAAAATATGATGTATGTTTTTTAGTTCTGTAGTATTTTAAACTTGCTGACCAAAATAACATATTTTTCTGTTAGATGCAGTCCTCAAGTGACCTACAAATGCCAAATCATGGAGGCCAAGCAAACTTGTACCCAATGCATGGCTTACAGCATTCAAGCCCACAAACATCATTTGGATCCATATATGGCAGCCTGATCCCTCCTCCACCGGCACAATCTGCTCAGGCTCCTCATAATCCTGCTGATCAGTGGTATTACGAAGATCCCAAGGTATTTCAATTTGTTTAGAAAACCTTATATAGTGGATAAGCACAATCACATTTAATGTCCTATTGCTCACCTCCTGATATGCAGCCCAGTCCTACTTGTTTGAATGCTCTTGATTTGTAGTGGCATTCACGCATACACAGGAGTACATGTGTAAGTTTTCAATAACTATTGTCATACAAGTATAATGGGTATTGAAGAGTTTTATGCTGCCGTATTTGTTCATGGTTAAGTACATAGTTAATAATAAAAATATTCAGGCACCAATATGTCTATAACGAATATTAATAACTTTTCATTATTTACAGTGATATAAAGAATTTTTTTTAGTATGGTCCATTTAAGTTATTAATCACTGTTTATTATTATTGTTTTCTCGTTTTCATTCCCAAGTCATTAGTTTATTTTCTAGATATTATCTTTTGATATTAATGATTTGTCTTAACTTTTATTTTCACTATTCAGTAACCTGCTAATTTTTCGTTTGACTAATATTCTTAAACGAAATAATTTGTTTTTTTTTTTAAGAATAATGGATAACCACTCTTCGTTGTTATTGCATGTTCGGATATACGTATAACCTTAAATATGGGTACTTTTTACTTAGTTTTCCTATAAAGTACAATAAGTGAAGCCTGTGATATTAGGGACTATTGACGTGTTGTGTGAAGCCACCTAGCTAATTAATATCATAGTACATAATTTACGTATTTTATTATTATTCTGGTCATGTTAATTATATTATTAGGTGAGTTTGGAGTTATTTTTAATGTGGGGATGGGTGCATCTTCGAATTATTTGCATGTAAAATATTTTGTTGTTTGTTATTGCAAAACAAGGCCCTTGGAAGAGAGCCGGTAAGAACTACACAACTGTATTGTTTTTATATAAATAAAGTCCCTCGTGAGAAATTTCAAATTTATACATATTGAAAGACTTTATAATTTTATTAAAATACATTTAAAGTCAAAGGAAGTCCGAAAATTCTTGTCAAATTAAATAATTCTAAGTACCTTTTAATTTTATTATGGTTCAATCTAATGTATGAGATAATTATTAACATTATTGCGCGGGGGATTGATATCGAGAAATTGTTATTTATCAACTAACATTAATCTGTCAATAATAATGTGGAAATTTAACTAGTCCGATTTGATGTAAGCAGCATTATTATGTTTATAGAAAACAATTCGCTCATATAACCTTGTTTTCAACAGCCTATTTATTATTTTTTATTGTTTTTAATCTGGCTTAGGACATACTGAAAGCTTGGCCTGTCATGGTATTCAAAATTATTAAAACTTTATCTACGGCTTATTAAGTTGCACTTTATAAATATTTTGAAAGCTTAGTGATTTTATCAAGGTTAATAAAACTTAATTGCACGTTTTACGTTTTAGAAACTTATAGGCGTCACATGAACAATACCACCATGAATAACACCACTCCTAAAAATAAATTCGTGGCAATGTCATGCAGATAAGGAAGAAATGTAACTCGAAACATGCGATTCCACCAGTGTGCGGGACTGAAATGCAGTGTACGACACAAATGTTTTGTTCTGGTTGACTCACTAAAGTAAACGTTAACAAATTGTGCGGAAAAATTTCTAAAATGTTCGCGTACAACTGGAAACTTTACGAGTGTGTTCAAATACAGGCAGTGTACTCAAGTTGATCTGAACACACTAGATGCTCGTGAACTCATTCTTGCTTCCGACTCCGGAGTGAAAACATTTATTTATACGCGCACTTGGTTTTTTTTTATGTGAAAAGTTGTCAAGCAGTAATCGGTTCATCTGATCTTAATTAGCAGCAACTAAAAATCTTTCCACTATATCGGAGTGAAATTCTTAAACCTATTCGTTCTACTTCATTGCGTCGTTCTAGGAATGGCCTTACCCAAAATCGCGGATTCCTTCTTCGTGTTCCCTGTGTTTTACTATGTAGCATTTTAAGCAGACTACATAGTAAAAAACAGGCCGTAGCACAAAGTACTACATTTTCCTGCCCGTCCAAATTAACAACTAAAGGCAGAACATGTTCGTGCAAAAATGTGGTACACTGTGCGCGTACAAAAGTTAGACAGCCTTTCCGGTGGAGTCAGGGGCTAAACGCCACACCGGCTTGTTATGTGCAATGCTGAAGTTTAGCTCAAAGTTATTATGTTCGTTAACAATTAATGTGCTGCACACTATTTCGGTGGAATCGTACCTTTATAACTACCATTAGATTAGTAAAATGACGAATGATAATTAACGTCAATACACATGTGACTGGAAAAACACATAAATACATTGAGATTGTTACTTCACTACTATGCTGCAAATGCTATATGTCAAATAGTTGCATGAGAAATTTGGATTTGTGAAAAGTATCCATTAAGACCTTTTAAATTGTTTTATGCTTATTGAAATAATTGGGAAAAAAGCAGGCGAAATTGTCAATTGTTACAGAAAATCATTCAGGGTCCGTTCTCGTCGAAGGAGATGTTCAACTGGTATAGGGCGGGCTTTTTTAGCCCGAGCCTGATGATCCGTAGGGCCTGTGACGCACATATGCGGCCGCTCGGCTCCTACGGCCCAATAGTACCCTTCGCGCAGATGGTAAGTGGCTTTGGAAATGAGCACAGTTTTGCAGTCCCAATCGGATTAATACATTTTTTGACTTTACCCCTCGAGACCTACGTCTTTTGTTCGGAGCCAAAAGCACTTACGACCGTAAATTCAAATTGTCACGAAAATGTGCATAGCTTTCAAACATTCAGCAATTATTCGGCACTTAAATAAGTTAATAGGCACGATAAAAAATCGCGTGGATATTTAATAATTAAATTAATCTTTTGTGTGATCGTCAGAAACATAGGAATATATACGAAGGAATCGTTCTAATTAGCGGTGATTAAAATAACAATTCAATTCAGTTTTAAATTTTGTTGTAACTTGCAGATGAATTTGAATACACAGTAGTCGTATAAAACACGTGGGGTATGCTTTGAATAAAATATTTTCTACAGGATATCCTATCACCATTCCCGATGTCCAGCGGTTTCGATACCCGCTCTCAGGGACCGCATGATTTACTAAATCCACAACAGGGACTCGGATTGGATGTAAGTTTAAGAGAGATTAATAAGGAGCATTCAGTGCATAAACAGGCATTTATAATACCCTAATTAAAATTTAAACATACGGACAAACAATATTTCGCATGTCGAGAACAGTTAAGAGCGCGTAAACATCATTTCATTAGATCTGGTAACATTGAGGTTCCTTAGACAGATATTGGCGCCGTGGACCGCAGTGAATCTGATTGGAAATTTAATTGTTATTCCCTGTCGGCTTCAAATTAAAATTTTACTATGACTTTCATAATCGTTACATTGTGAGAACAAAATTTTAGCGGTAGAGAACATTTTAGCGGTAGGTGGTACACCAAGGTTTTGCTCTGATGTCGACGCGCCCTTATAATATGTATAGGCTTTTGTTTATCTTTTCTTTTGCGATGCATGTTGAATTGCTGAGGAATCTTGAAGTTTGGACTTTATATTGGCTACATCTGGCAATCACTATGATATTAAACATCCGAAGAGATATTTTTGTAATATCCAAAAGATTTATTGAATGGTGTCCATGTGAGCATGATAGATGTCGTTTTGTTTATATAATACGTAAGTATACATGTATTGTGTGTCAATGATGTGTGTGTAGCAGCTGAAGAGCGACCAAATTTGCAGGACGCTTTATGGAGCCAACCGGCACCAACCCCCGATCTGGTGTGGGTGCAGCAATCCATGAACGCGCGTAGCGAGTCTCGCGTCAACAGCCTCCCTTTGTTTTTCTGGGATACGCAGGTTTGTACCATGTTTGTTCGTTATTACAGAGCTCTGCTTATATCTCTTTCGAATTTTTATATTTCTATAAAAGCAATAGCTCAAACATTCGACTTCCATAATTGTGTCATTCTAACTTCGCAATTTGAAATGAAGTTCTTAAGCAGATCTCTAGTTACTTACATATTTATATACAAAAGAAAATGAAACGTTATGAGGATGGCAACAGTTGCGTGTCTCAAAATTGAACGTTCCGTAATGGTAGCTCATTTTTGGATTTCTTTTTTTTTGAATAAACATTGTACATGACTAAAATAAAGTACATTACTTGTTCCATTCCACTGGACAAAACTATATGGCTATTAGTTCTGAATTTAATATTTCGAAGCATATAAATATTCATTTTGATATTGCAGTATGCTACTAATCAAATTTTAAAAATCATCCGCATAACGTAATGAAAATAGATGTTATTTTTGATACTAAGAATAATCGTTCCTTTTTGTCGAAGTAATGTCTAGTTTCACAATGCTTCCCACCAATGCAAGGAATCATGAACGACATGTGTTTAATATAAATCTAATTTATCGTTCAAGATTGATTTTTATATCACTTTTTGTTTATTCATTATTTTTAAGCAATCATCATCAAAAAGTCAGAAAATCATGGCACATTCATCTTGGTACGGTTTTCACAAGCTTTAATGTCTAACTTCTGTATTAAAATGAAATGTATTGCATTTAATATAAATTCTTTCATAATAAACCAAATCGAAAATTTGATGAAGCGTCGATACCACACTCCTTGTAAAGGTATTATATATTTTTAAGAGCTTTTGAAACGTACATAGACCTATTTTCTTAAAAACAGGAATCGAAGATCAAATTGTAATAAGCTTAAAAAGATTATTTTCGCTATGTCAGTTAATTCAGCACTGCTCGTTTGACATTGTGCTCAGTTGTATAGATTAAATATTATCTCTCTAAATATTAATCACCTATATAACTTTCATGATTCCTTAAACTGCTTAAATACCTTCATTTAATATTGGTGCGTCTTTGTTAGACGAAATATTGGTATCGAAACCAAATCACATATCTTTATGACCCCGCCACTAGTAAGTAATCTTCTTGTGGCATCCATTCCAACCTAAGAGTTGTACAAATTGTGAAAACTCGTGCAAACTCGTGCTCGTCGGCTTTTAGTGTTCAATATTAATTTTGGTTCATTTTCCAAATTTTTTTAATGTTCACCATTCCGTTAATGCTTGTTTATTAAAACTACAATGCAATTAACGATGATAGCTTTATCAAATACGCTATGCGAACGTGGAATTTCTCACCAATATCCATATGAGTCTGATGAAATATAATTAATTGATTTTTTAACTTTTTTTAAATATAAATATCTAGTTCGTTAACATCGTATAAATATGTTCCGAGGACGTGGTATAGCGTAATAAACGCTCTTTGCACGTTAGTTATTTTTTTTGGAAAACTACGTGAAAAACTGGAAGTATTAAATATCTTTTGTATTTCACGAGAGTTCTAAATGCTTTACCACTTTCATAGATATTTTAATTTTTAGGACACTAACATATCGAGCACGTGATTTTAATAATGGTGGGCAAATCTTCAAACTTAATCCAATTTTTGACTAGTAATGCAACTAAATTAACTACCGTTTTATTAGATCTCAAGTGTTGGTTATAGCGAATACATCGTTGTAAAATGTTATTTAATTGCACTTAGAACTGGAATACAATAGTGTAAGCTGTTGAAATTCGAAGACGCGATCTTAGGTTAGAATGTCCCACGTGAAGGAAAATAATGAGTACGATCATGCCATAAGCTGAACGAGAAGTAGATCATTTTGCTGTAAACCTTTATAGATGTCTTGATTATTATTCATTTGATGTGCTTAATGTATAGATTCGATCCCATTTTCTCATAAAGAATTTTTCTTTGTTTTGATGTATTGTTGTACCCTAAATGTGTTCGACAATTCAAAGAATATGAATGTCCTCTTAAACGAATTGTCTTTCATGATTCCAATAATATCTTCAAATAGAGTTTGTTCCATTTTTTTTTAATTAAAAGCTAAATAAAATAACACACAACTGGTTTTCAGGGTGAAAAAATTAACGAAAATATACCCGAAGCCGATAATGCTGCTCGAATGAAGAATATGTCATAAAACATAAATTATAAATGTTTAAATTAGCAGAGCAGCAATCTTTTTCTCGTTATTTGTAGTACTAATCAAAAATGGTATGAAAAGGATATCGTTAAATATTTCACATTACCTAAATAAATGTTATTATATATATATTTCTCCCGTTTACTGGGCCTAACAGATATATCTAATGTTTGATGTGTTTGAAACTAGTAGTGTAGTTTATTACCCATTCAATGGTAATTACCAAGTTGTTTTGTAACAAAGTTTATCTATTCATATATTTTCTTTCTCTTTATGAATAGTTAATGTTATCGACTATAATTGCTGATAGGCCCCGGGGAGCGGGTGTTGTGTGTAGATATATTCTATTGATACATATTGCAGATCGGTTTTACAGCAACCCAAGACTTCTTGTTTTAAAAATTGTTAATATTATACCACCGAAACTCATTATTTGTATCCTTTTGTGGCGCTGGTTCTCAATAATAATAACTACATTTATTATAAAGTACATATCTGTAATTAATGATCTATTATATCATTTTGGCTGTTAATTTAAAAGACTGAAATTCATTTAACATTAAAGACTGTAGAGTATTATAAAATGTTCATGTGAAACGTTCGCAGGCAGCTGTTGGCTAAAAGATTTAGGTTATCTGTTGTATACTTTTCGCTTAAGTTACCATAAATGTAATATAAGTGTAAACTTAAGTTAATGTCAAAAAAATAAATGGACGACGACCATATTGTAAACATTTTCGTTTGCGTCAAGTTTAACTTTTAAGTAAAAGTTAAAGTTTATTTCTATTCCTTTATTTTCTATTTTTTTTCTTTATAATTAAATTTTAATCAATATTTACCTATAAAGTTCACTATGCAAAAGATACCCTAAACATTAACTCATTAATTGTAGTTATAGTTTTGAACTGTTATAAATGAATGTGAATATGTTTACTTCGAGATATAGCAGTTTTTAATGCAATGTGACTTGAATGACGTAATCCCTATTTTATTATACAATTTTTCGAATACACATTTGTATGAAAAATGGATAAGTTCTCCTAAATTGCCAGTAGGTTTATCGCCACAGGCTTCGCACATATTGGAAAATTTAATCCATTGACTTCATTAAAAATATTAAAATTTATTGTAGTTTCAGTCATTACTCATTACATACAACCAAAGAAAAAAAGAAGATCACATTATAATATTTTAATTATGTGTCATTTGGGCAAAGTTATTGTTTATTATAATATTTTAGATTAAGCATAAAATATCGAATGGAAGTGGTAAAGAATTTATGATTTCATTTATTAAATTTCGCCTTAAAATCAAAATTCGAAAGAAAACGCTATCAGTTCTCTAAATATGATTGAAAATATTTACTCAAACTAGGTTTTGATTCATCAGTTAAATTATTTATGTTCCACATCGCGATGTTTTTACTAAGGTTATTTTTAGTTTTTTATTATTTGCTTTATTTTATAGCCGTTGAGTTTTTTTTTACTAAACTTAGTGTACAGGTTTATTGCAGATGTTATTAGACTGTATACTTTGTGGACAATTAAAAGTGTTTTGTTATGTCTGAAATTAAAGATTACTTTACTCAGTTTACTATTATATTAATAGAATTCCTAATGTTGAGCTAAAACATACTTTCATTATGTAACTAGGCCAGTGGTTTGGGTATTTATTGGTTATATCAATAAATTAATCTGCGTAGTAATATTGTACTAAAATTTTATTGCACGCCTGTGCTCTACATACACGTTAAAGTCAAGCAACAAGAAAACAGCTTAAATAATCTATCTCCGTAAAAATTCTGATTGAAAAAAAATTACGTGGACGTCCAGATTTTTTTACCACCTCGGTCACGACAACTAAAAAAAATGGACGTATATCGAGCCCGTATTTTGTATATTATCTTCAAAATAACATGAACTAATTATCTAATTAATATCAATAGCCTAGCATCCTACGTATATTAATAAAATGTTAAAAGAGCATGAAATATTAGAATAAAAAATGAAAGCCTATTTGATTTAATGGTCTAAATAAAAGCAATGTGCGACTTGTTTTATTTTCTCGAAAACAAAACGAGTGGCATGAGACATGCGCTTTTGATTTTTCCAAGTTTTTGGTCTTTTTAAGAAGAAAATTTACTTTATTTTTCTATATCTCAATGTTGACTCACACTGTATAAAATACATGGATTATTTATACTTAGAATAGTTACAATTACAAACATTACACGTTTACTCAAGTTCAATTTTATTAACTATTATGTTTCATCTGCCCTAAAAATACTGTGGCAACTTTTATAAGGCCGCTTGCCTGGTCTTAGTGTTCTTACATGACTTGTAAGGAATGTTTTGTTTGTCATCCCTTGCTTTTGTTTTCATTGAAAACATCATTCGATTTTTGTCCGGCTTCGTTTTGTGGACTGGCGCTTTGAGCTATCCGATTCACGCGTATTCATTTATTAATGCGTAGGCGTAATAATTGGCTTTGTTTTTCCATTGTATTGTATGTTTATTTACACATATATATTAATAAGGCATTGAATGTGTAATTTTACTGTGTACTAGGAATAAAATATATTAACATGTTTAACAAATTGGTATTATAACAAAGGTCATCAATTGTAGCACAACAAGTGTTCTTTTCTGAAATATATTCATAAATCTGAAATATATCAATATTGCTTCATATACTAATTAAAAATCATTCATCTGAGAACTAAATAATGAGTTATATAAGAAGTTATCTCTAATATTTTGGTAGTATCTATTCAAATATATTATATAAGGAGGAATTAAAAAAATGTTCATTATAGCAAATTTAATATTCTCTGTTAAAATTTCGGATTCGGAAAAAATAATAAATGATTTTTTATTTAAAAAAAATACATTTAATTTACTATGTTATAACATTTTTTAATCCTCATTTTATAGAATTGTATTACGAAATTCAACTATGTATTTATGCATGAAAAAGTAGTATACATATGTAAATATGCAAGATCTTCTCTGTAAAAAACAACCATGATGGTTATACCGAAAGATCGTGCTGAAGAGTTTTAATTAATTAGCTGTGTAAGATTTATAAAACTTAAGTAAAAAAAAAACTGTAGCAAGATAATTTTATGTGCTTGATTAACAATAATAAAGGTTTGGGCTTTCACGTAGTATTTTTTACTGCATGCTTTTAACTTAATCCAGTCTTGGAGCAGACGCTGGCCTAGCGTTACATCATGCATTTGTTTGCAAAAGAACATTAACGATTCCCAAACACTAGGTGAAGGATTTTAGCGCAAAAGCGACTAGGCGTCCTTAAGGTAGCTAAGGGCACAGTTTGCTCTTTTGATTTACTACGGCGTTACAGGAACTACGAAACATAATTTTATTCCTTATTTTCGCAGCCCTTTTCAGTCAACTATTAAGACAGTACATCCGCTTTCGTAACTTTCACATACAAGTAAAAGGAATACTGGCAATGATGGCCACGTTGGCCACAACACATTTAGTTGCTTCCCTGTCTTCAGGCTAGTCGCTAAAAGTTCGGTTTTCTAATAGCTACCATACATACTTAAAAGCCAAACATATGATGTATTAATTATCAGGCATAAGCATGAAATAATAATCCAAAAAATCATTTTTAAACTTTAAAACCTGCAATGATTACAGTCATTGTGTGGTTTCAAAGTTAAAAATGATCACTTTAATAAAACATTTACAGCCTTCAGCAATAACTTCTAACTCACTATTGCCCGAGGAAATAGCGAAGGAAATGAAAACAGAAGATCAAATACTTGCACAGCTTAGAGCGTCGCAAAATACTAGTACCTCTCAAAGTATACCTTTTATCAGCGATCAGACGTCCGTTTCGACATCAGTTAATAGTAAGACCGATGAAGCCTTTCCCCCAACTGTTAGCGCAACACCAAATTTGGAAGAATTGCAGAAATTGATTCAAACTGATGCATTAGCTTCACCAACGCCTCCTGCGACAGTCACAGAATCAGAAGTGGAAAATGGAGAATCGGAGGTATGATTTTAATTATTACTTTCGTATAAAAGCCTAAGGATATAATTTTGAGTTTTGTCTATTATATCATTGTTATCCCCAAAACTAAAACAGCTTTATCACAGCAGGTTAAAACAGAGAAATTAAATAAAGTTGAAAATATGCCTGTATTAGAAAGTAATAATGAAAAGCCGCCCCAACAAAATATAAACAAAACCATCACTGAGTCTAAACCCGTAAAATCGACAAAACCAGATAATGAAAAAGCAGCAAAAAATAAAGACAATAATAACATCAAAAGTAAGAGTAAGAAATCAAAGGAGGAAAAAAAAGAAGAGGTAGAAACGATGAATAAAGAAGAGACTGTCAAAACGGAGGTGAAAAAAGTGAATTTCAAATATATAAGTTTTATAATTAAAGCTTTCGTAATTAACCATAAAAATACCCGATAACATGTCTTAAAATAGAACTTAATTTTTTAGCAAAAAAGATCGGTAGAGTCCTCACCATCAAAAAGTAAAAAAGAAGATAAGCAACACAAAAAGGAGCTTGAAAAAGAGAGAAAGGTATTTCAAAGTTCCCTTTTCTTTAATAAGAAAATTTTTATACATTTTTTTACATGAAAAGTTGCCGAACGAGCAGGCGGTTCACCTGATAAGTGAATACCGCCGTCCATGGACATCATCTGCACCTGAGGGTTGCAGATGCGTTGACAACTTTATGAAAATTGGGCTCCGCCTACTTCACTCACCAGACGAAACGCGAATGAAATTATACTTCCACTTGACGCCGGTCTTCTGTGAAGTCGTGGTACTTACCCGGACAAGCCAGTCCATTCGTGCAACAGCCGAGGCTGCTGCGTGGCTCTATCATAGTTATATGTTATATACATGTTTAAAAACATATTTTAAATTATGATCGCCTGCCTTTTTCCATCTGGTGAGATATTTTCTATAAATGTTGCAGGAGTGGGTTAAAGAAGGATTCACCATCGTGAAGGGTTCAGAAAAAAACACTAAAGATACCAAGAAAAAAGTAGAAGACTCAAAAACTAATGAGGATGCTGACCGTAAGAGGTAAATAATTTAGGTAGTTTGTTTATGTTTGTTAAACAAAATATGTTTATAAAATCATTATGCATTCTTTATGTTTACAAGTTTTATGCAACAATGTGACAATAGTCCTGAGTACGACAAAAAATAAGCAGTTTTTTAATGTTAATTCGCGTATCAATGTTATGTCTTTACAATTAAATTCAAAAATCAAAATCAAATGTATTTATTCAACATAGGAGCATTACACTCACTTATTGATAGTCAAAACACTACCACCGGTTCGGAAAAGAAAGCCACTGTACTGAGAAGAACCGGCGAAAGAAACTCAGCGGGCTTTTTTTTTTTTTAAATTAGAAGTTTGACATAAATTCGTTAAAATACAATATAAGAACTCCGATTAAAAGAGCCTGGAGCGATCAGTTCATTACCAGAGTGTGTTATCATTTAAATAATCATTAATATTATAGTAGCCTTTAACACACAAACGTTCTTTTATTATTTTTTTAAATTTAGCTATTGATGCATTTTGAACGTTTTCTGGAATTTTGTGGTAATAACGTATACATTGTCCCATAAAAGATTTACTTATTTTACGGAGTCTACTTGTGGGTAGGATCAATTTATTTTTGTTCCTAGTATTTATATCATGAACATTATTATGTCTTAAAAATTTATCCTTATTTTTATGGACATACAAAACATTTTCAAAAATGTATTGAGCAGCAACAGTCAATACTTTTATCTCTTTAAACAAGTTTCTTAACGATTCTTTGGGACCCAGATTGTAAACTGCACGAATAGCTCTCTTTTGTAAGATAAAGATTGTATTAATGTCGGCCGCGTTACCCCAAAGCAGAATGCCATAAGACATTATACTGTGAAAATAACTAAAATATACCAAGCGAGCCGTATCAACATTAGTTAACTGTCTCATTTTTTTGACCGGAAAAGCTGCTGAGCTAAGTCTACTCGCCAGTCTATTAATATGGGGGCCCCATTGCAGTTTGGCATCAATAGTTATGCCAAGGAATACAGTTGAGTCAATAGGGTCCAACGCTTCCCCATATAAAAGTACATCAGTTTTTACATGTTTAACATTGGAGGAAGTTGTAAATTTAATACATTTAGTTTTTTTATTATACAGTAAATTGTTAGCACTAAACCAATGTACTACAGTAGATAGAGTATTGTTTACATCGTCATAACTTAAAGAATGTCGGTTTACTTTAAAGATTAAAGAGGTATCATCCGCAAACAATACTATCTCATGATTATTATTAACAAGATAAGGTAGATCATTTATGTAAATGAGGAAGAGAAAAGGCCCAAGAATAGATCCCTGCGGGACCCCCATATTTACCAAGGCCCCGGGAGATCTCTTGCCATTCACGTCAACTCTCTGAATTCGATGGCTCAAGTACGATTTCAGAAGATTGAGTGCGGCATCTCTTATACCATAGTGGCGTAGTTTCGTGACCAAGGTCATGCTGTACACAACCGAAAGCTTTGGTTAAGTCACAGAATATTCCTAAGGCATCCTGCGACTTTTCCCAGGCTTCAAAAATATTCATAACGAGCTGAACACCCGCATCAGTTGTTGAGCGACCCCTAGTAAACCCATATTGCTTGTTATGTAATAAATTATGATAGCTAAAATGCTGTAACATTTGATTCAACATGATTTTTTCAAAAATTTTACTAAGAGTTGGCAGTACAGAGATAGGTCTAAAATTATTGGGGTCGGAAGTACTACCAGATTTAAACACCGGAATGATTTTACTATGTTTCATAAGGTCAGGAAATTCGCCACGATTGATACAAATATTAAAAATAGTTGCTAGGTAAGGTGATATTACATCAATAATAGAACTGATCACCTTAACCGAGATCCCCCATAGATCTGCAGTTGTTTTAACATCTTCATTATTTTACCCTTATGTGACGATTTCTACCAACTCATGCCTGCCGTGTTAAGGGACTTTGTTCAAAAAGCGTCAAAGATTACTTACATCCTTCAAAATCACAGTCGCACACAAAGATTGACATTAGAAATTTCTGCCTTTCGCTCTATATGCTTGAACGAAACATTGTTAATAATTTTAAAACAATTTATTAATAGTAGGTGAGATTGGGGTTGAGAGTCACATACTCATATTCTTGGCAAATCAATGAAATTTATATCTCACTGGATAGTATATCTAATCTAGTTTCAAAATAAATTAATACTTCTTACCATAACATTATCCATAGAAGAAATATTACATTTTTGAGAAAAAAGAAAAGTATGACTTCTAACCCCATGTCAGGGATGGTTGTCACAATGCCAGGGGTAGGTAGTCACACTGTAAATCAAGGGAGAAAAAAATCACACTTAAATCAAATGAGTAGGTATTTTTATTAGAAATAGAATCTTCAACTGGTATACAAAATGAAAAGTAACAGCCTATACATGTCCCACTGCTGGGCAAAGGCCTCTATACAGAGGTTATCAGGGCATAGTCCACCACGCGGCCCCACTGTGGATTGGCGGACTTCACATGTTTTCGAAATATTTATTTTTTTTGTTATTATTTCGAAAATATGCAGGTTTCCTCACGATGTTTTCCTTCACCGCGGAGTACGTGATAAGTCAGCACTTAAAGTTAAAAAACTTTATTGGTGCCGGCACCGGGGATCGAACTCAGGTTGCTCGAGTATATTGAATTAAAGGCGAGCGCCCTGACACTGAGCTATCACGGCTCACGAAAATGAAAAGAATGTAAAATATTCATTATAACAAGAATAGTCAACAAATTCACTTATACATAATTTCCATTTAACAAAATTAGGATTCTTGTTACGAAAATAACAAAAATGTAATCATAAACAGGCACTGATTTATTTGGACGTTATACTTTTAAATAAAAGTGCGCACGATATAATATGAAGTCAATCCAAGTAACCAGTCTGGATATTTAGATTCACAATTTTGGCAAATGTATCAATAATCAGCTGTCCGTGGCTTGCGCGCAGGAGTTTTTGCACCATAGTCCCCTCAATTTCGTCCATGTTCCATATTTCAAGTTTAAAAAACAAACTGTTGACATTTTGAGGATTAAAACTGATGGCTCGAGCAAACTTGTGGATTCAGGTCTTCTAATGGACAGAGAAGGATGTCTCTTCATAAACGACGTCAACCAATCGCGGCCAGCTAGCTTGTTTGAATCCCAAGAGTGTGGAACTTTCCAACCCTTTGGAGACAGGCAAGCTCGTACGTTATTATGTAGCAAAATTCCAAAATGCCAAAAAATACCAGCAGACATGCATGGGGTTGGTTGTCACATGTGACTACCAGCCCTCGTTAAGCTGAGACAACCTGCCTTTTTAGAAAATAAATCTAAATCGGTATATATTTATAAAACTATATAACAATATCGTGAGCCATATATTTAACTTAACTAATACATGAATAGGTATTTTACAATGCAAAATTTAGGCATACTTACAAGGATCGACACAGATGCGCGAAAAATTACTTTTGGTGTGACTTCTTCATCAACTTTCGTATTCGTTCGTTAACTTTTCTGTTATGACCACTGTGACAACCAACCCGTGAGACAACCGTACCCGGTCTCCCCTATACATATAAATATATTTTTAAATGTTCTCGCCCTTTCCGTTTTATTCTACTGTTTTTAAATTATTTTAAGTAATTGTTAGTAAATGCATCGATGTCACACGAACGTTTAGTTTTATGTTTATAATGTTATTATGTTCATACAGGAAAGAAGAGGAAAAGAACTCTGCTGATGAAAAAAAGGAGAAAAAAAATACCGAGAAACCGAAAAATCAACAGGTATTCGAGATTTCATAGGGAACGCAGAAATATAAGTAAATTTACATGAAAATGAGTGGAAATATCCTATTGATAACTTTCTGGTAGACGTCGAACATGTGCGTTCTTTTTGATTTTAAAGCGCTGTATGTCGTAAGGTTATTTGAATTTTTAAAGGTATTTTCAACAAAATTTATACATTTTTAAGCAGCAAATAAATGAATGTTAATTTTACATGAGCCATTGTATTCAAAACATGTTCGCGCTAAAAAATAATCATGAAAAAACGTGAAATTGAAAGGCAAAAATATGCGTTATAAGTGAACTAATCTTAATATCTGTGATGTAATAGTATATTTCATTACGAGTGCGGAAAGCCTGTCATTGCAAAGAGTTCCGACAAATGTTCCGAACCGAGGCGCAGCCGAAGGTGAGGGTTGACAGTCGGAACAAGTTGCAATGACGGTTCTGCACGTGTACTGAACAACTATTTTTAATACAGTTGTGAAAAATGAAGCTATTTAATAGAATAATAAAAACACAGAATATATTTTTTTTTGGAAAATGGCGCCAGCGTAAAAGTATGTAAGCAGAGATTTTTTTTTGTTTTCTTCACCCATTCTGGGTAGGCAAAGGGAACTATGCCCATACAGCCAAGACTTCAGTAGATTTTTATTGATATGAAATTTAATGAGATGAAATGAAATGAAACCTAACGTAACTCATTGAATCAAATCATTAAATCTGACATTTAAACAAATTAGTAGCTTCTTTTTAGAAAAAATTGCATGAATCATAAAAACTTCTATGAATTTTTTTTTGTAATAACTTTGTTGGTTTTTTCTTTTTAATAGACATTATTTTGACAGTTGGGAAAGAGAACGCACGAGTTCGGAAAAGGTAAAGAAAAAGCTCGAGTATGTAATAGCCCACATCCCGAACGCTATACGTCCCTGCAATACGTCACTTTTTGACCAACTGTATTAAAAATATTTTATTATCCGGGACTTTTTAAAACGAACTCGTAAGCGTCAACCTAAACATTTGGGCAAACCACGTGACTTTTCATTTCCAGTCCAGACGATGGACAGAGGGACAGCGCCGAGGCTATTTGATGGACCTATCATCTTGGCCATTTATTTTCTCATCGTTTTTCACACATTTTGTCCCTAGCAAAATCCGATCACTATATTACCTTTTTGTGATTTTTCCCGCCTTCGAAAATCATACTTTAACTTCTATGACTTCTCAAACAGTTTGTGTTTTGTGTTGATTTACACAGTTTGATATAAATGAATGGTATTATTATGTAACTTCATTGAAACCTGTCCTAACGGAATTATTTTATTCTGTAGCTAATTTAACACAGGAAATATCGCCTTTTTATATGAATGCAATTTCATTTCTGGAAGCCTATTTAAAATCTATTTTTTTATGTATTTTAAAATTGACTATTTAAGATTTTATTTTTTTGTCTTTTGTTTATATTCATTTGACGTATTTTAATTAATCAAGTTTTTGAATCCTACCATCACACAACATATTTTAAGAGGCACCAGACGCACACAGACAACCCGCAACCACTTACCACTTACGAACATAGCGGCCCTTGCTTATCATCGGCAATACTGATGAGAGCAAGATAGAAATTATTAATTCACACAAAAAGGGTTGTTACTAAATCGGTCGTGACGTAAATGATTATGTTAATAAATAATTTCTGGATGTTCTTGTCAATAGCAGGATGTCTTGCAGCGTCAAAATGAGTCGATGTCTAAGAAGGCACCATGGTCGGCGGCTGCCACGCAAGCACAGGCCACACTCAATGACATGCCCCTGACCGAGATACAAAGGCTCGAGCGGGAGAAGAAGCTAGAACAGATGAAGGTGCAGCAGCAAATGATGCAGATAATAGCACAGCAGCAGGCAGCAGCCATGGCCAGGGAGCAGGTGATTGCTCTTCATTAAAACTAATTTCACATCCAATCTCATCTTAACCCGATGCTATAATAAATATATCCTAGTTCGAACTACAGTTACGTATGTACGTACGAAATTAACAAACATTTGTAATTTTTTTGTATTATATACCTATATTTTTTAATTGGAATGATTATTATATATTTATATAACGTATATATAAATATATAACAGGAAATGCAAGCTGGACTTGGTTGGGCAAAAAAGAAGGGGACCAATCCTAATATAGTTGAACAGAGTTTGACTGAGATACAGGTGAGCCACTTTAATTTAAATACAAGCATAAACACAAAACAATTTTTTTACTCTTGTGTATATTTAGTTGAATGAAAAACGAATAGTATCAATCTTATTAATTTAAAATTATAAGTTGTAGCTAGCGTTGGCAACTTTTTTTTTTGCTAAGAATTTTAATTGAAGATAGTTTTCAAAGGAAGTAGAACAATATTAACAGTAAACTAATTTTAATGTGTGGGACATAACTTTTTGGCGTCATATACAGGGAGGTTTTTCTAAGTGTATCCATCTTTTTTATTAAATTTGATGAATGTTATATAACAATGATAAATATTTAAAATCACTCGTTATTAATTAAATACATTCATTTGAACTTATCTCAAAAATTGCGTGATTTATAGGTAACTCATTTATATATTCCGCGCGATAATTCATAACTAACACCCACACAAGTTCGTTTCAAAAGTATATTTTGTTTTATAGGGAATGGAATGGCATTTTTTTATATAAAAAAAAGTTTTTTTATATCAATAATCGATTACACTACCGAGTCTGAACCTCCTGTGTGAATTTGGGCACCTTTATAAAAGCCATCCTGTATTCAAAATATAAACTATACATCTACTATAAATATGAAAAATTAACAGTGTGAAAACTGAATACAGAGCGAGGTTCACTAGCATATTTGGCTGTCTTTTTGCATTGTGTCTAAAAAACAAACAAACGCACCGACGAGACACACGAATTTATTCGGCGACACATTGAAAGAAAACAGTCGCTGAATATGGTTTTCTATTCCATTCCAACTGGCGTGCGTGTTGCGCCGGCATGGAATTGGAAGAGAAATGATGCGTTGTCCCCGAACCATTCGAATGAACCGTCCGGACTCGAGTGAATTGGTCCGAATCATTCGGACGAGACGCCCGATGTCGCCTTAATTGTTTGTCGGCCAGGCGGAGGCGCGCAGGCAGTCGGCCGCTGCGGCGGCGGCGGCGGCGGCGCAGGCCTTCGAGGAGGCGCAGGCGGTCGTGCAGCAGCCCATCAACGTCCCGTGGGCCACCGCCGCCAACGCCAGTGAGCCTTGCACCCCATTATGCCGTCTCTCCTAGCGCAGGCTCTGACAGACCCTCCCCCGGGAGTAAATGGAAACACGCTCGCTTTGATTATGCCTACGGAGTTCCTTTCGCCTGTTTCTTCCCCGTCGGCGAGACAGATTTACGGTGGTAGATTGAAAAAAAAAAAAAAGACTACCGATAGACGATAAATTCATGTTTCTTTGTTAATTTTTATTGTATGTGTGTATTGAATTGGTTTTTAAATGTTATTCATGTTAAACATTTTATTTATATAAACGTGATTCGTAGAAAAATAAAAAATAATTTGATCTCACTTGTTACTTTTACTTGCTCATGAATGTTAAATCTAAAATTATAAAATAGCACTTATGTTTTTCCATTGTTCTCATAAAAAAAATTAATTTACAATGCAATAGTTATTTTTTTTCCTGCAGGTGGTTTCTGGGATGCACATCCTCAAAAGGTCGGCGATAAGCCTCAAGAGAAGGTGGTAGAGCCCATCAAAAATATCAAGAAGAAGGCGGTGCCGGTGTTGCCGCCCCCTGTGATAATCCCTAAAAAGGAGACCACGCCAACTCCTGAAGTGGAATTCGAGACTTGGTGCACATCCAATCTCAATTTGTGGAGCACCAAGATTGATGGTAAAATCATAATTGACTACGAAACAACTAAGTTTGTTAGAGTTACCTATAATTTGGTGTAGTAAAATAATTGATGCTTAAGGCAAGGTAAAATAAATTTACCAGTTAATAATAAATAAATACGGAATATATTTCTAGTGGTGAGCGGAAAAAAGCAACATAATTATGTAGCTCAATTATGTTAGTCTTATCTAGCAGCGCGCCTCAGCGCTCTCTGCTCATCTTGTTTAAAAAAAAAATAAGAGAACAGAACCAACACCCCGATGGCGGTATGTTTGTAACGTTAAAGTTAATTTTATTAAATTAAATTAATAGATACAGATGTCTTACTTCAATCCTCATATGAAAACGATAGCCCCGATAATAATTTAGATCAGTGATATTATTGTTTTAAAGTTGTGTTCATTTCTAATGTATGTTGTACTTTAATTGTCTTTCAATTTCACCTCTAATGAATGTCATATTTTTTTTATATCGAGAACATATTTTGAAAGCAATGGCCCAATGTAAGGACAAAATTAAAATGTTTTTTGCTGCTTTAAAATGTTTAAATTTTGTTTAAAAAACCCATCATAAACCTATTAAAATTTAAATCACAAATGTTTTGTGATACATTGGAGATGAATATGTTGGTTTTAATAGTTTTCTTTTGTTTTCAGTTCCAACGTTCATCGGCTTCCTCAAGGACATTGAGTCGCCTTACGAGGTGAAAGATTACGTGAAGTTTTACCTCGGCGAATCCAAAGACGCCTACGATTTCGCCCGCCAGTTCTTGGAGAGAAGGTTGGTTTCTGTCATGATGTGGTTCATTTATTGAAAAGCAAAACTATCGGTTGAATATTCCGATGGCCTCGTAGTAACAAACGCAATGTCAAAGTGCAGATGCCTTCTAAATTATAGGGAAGAAATGGGTAATGGGGGTAATGGGTATATATATATATTGTGATGATCGTACTCTATATATATATATTGTGATGATCGTTATATATATATAACGGTCATCACAATAATAATTAACTTTGGCAAATAAAAGAGTTAAAGAAAAAAACAGTTTTTACTCCTATTGCCCCGAGTTGGTCACCTTGTGGGCAATGAGGTTCAAACAAAACTGTAACACAAATCGCAAACATATCCCAGCTCATAGATTGATGAGCCAGGGCCTAGGCAATCAATTGCGCTAGAAGTTGGAGGGGGTGGGGGGGCAGTGAACCAACATGCATTGATGTGCCAGTTATTGAAGATTTTTCTTGACCTGGTACCGGGTCATCAATAGCCTCTAACTCATCATAGTTTAAAATGGTAGTAGTCTCCGATTGGAGCAATTCGGCTGGCAGAAAATCTTGTTTTCGGGTTTATTGGGTAAATACCAGTAGTCCCGATTCCCCTTACTAATGGGTGAAACATTATTAAATGTAAGGCGTGATCTTCACTCCAAGGTAAAACAACCAGTCACGTCCAGCCATTTTTGAAAACTGATTAAAATAGCGTTTTTTCAATTTTGTAACTATTTATTATAATAATAATTCATGGTCCCGTATAGTTCCAAGTTTATGTTTAAGTCTTCAGCATATTCAAATGCCACTTTTCTAATTTCATTAGCTGTGCATAACAATATTGGCCATCTTCATAATGAAGTCGTCAAATCTCTCCCTTTTTTATTCAAAGCTGAACACAGTCAGCCGTCTAAGACGTGGTGTCAAGTAAGATTTTTTATTAAATCTAAAAATATATTATATGCCAATTACATTGCATGTAATATTGTTCACTAGTGGGTAATGGGGGTCACCCGATTCTCATTACCTACAAGCACTCTAAGAAGAAAAAAAAATAAAAACAAAATATATATTTGCGGCACACGTGATTTATATTTGAAATCGCACTGAATGTCCGAATAAAGGCGTACGAAAGTTGCAAACAAGTACACACAATAAATGTGATACTTACCGTTTATTTTGCGTGAAAGGAAATTTATATCGGCAAGCCGCAAAAACGAAAATGATCTCTCGTTCCCGATACCGTTGCTATACCGGCGCGGCCGCAACGGAACGATTGTGAGGAGCACATAGCGGAGTAGGGGGGCTATTTACGCATCTCTAGTGGTTGAAGTTTTGTATATATGTTAGTGACTACCATTACCCACTGACTCCCATTGCCCCATCTTCCCCTATAATACAGAGGTTTGCTCTATTTTTAAGCAAATTGCGGGAATAGCGATTTGTGAAGGTGATTCAGATTGGTACCTATTCTAAACTCACACCGCAGGTCGAAGCTGCTACGCGTCGGTATGGTGACCCCCTCGGACGACCTGTGCTCACCAGCTTTGGCTATCACCCCGCGCAACCCCTCCGGATCCGACTACCAGGAGGTGAAGGTAGCGCTTTTAAAGGGCGCGGTCGAAACGAATGAGGGATAAAAATATCGCTGCAAGAAGTTGGCTAACAGCCGCCGGTTCATCCGTGTTAAATGATTACCCCATAGCGGTCCCCCGCTCTTTATTATGGACCGAACTTTCCTAGAAACGCCGTCCGACGCGTAACACATTAGGCAAGGCACAAATACTTCTACTTTACGTTTGTCTCCTGCGAGTACTTCTCCGAACGACCTTACCAATTCGTGCGACAGAAAAGATATTTTAAGTGCCAGATAAAATACAGATATATCTAGCAGTGATCCCCGCAATTTTGTAACTATTTATTATAATAATAATTCATGGACTCGTATAGTTCCAAGTTTTTTGTTATAGTTTTAGCTAATTTTAGTAATAATACTCATTTAGTAAGAACAAAAAAGAGTTGGCATACTTAACAGAATTTAATCTTATTAAACGGTTTTATTTAGTTCGACCCGTACGGAATTTGTTTGTTTGGGTCAAAATTAGGAATTGAAATTTAAGCACCTTGCCGTTGTCAGATTGATTTGAAATTTGGTACACACATTTAATTTAGATGACAATACAATATTAACAGAAAAAAATTTAACAAAAACAAAAACAAAATAAAACCGTTTAACTTAAAAGTTTTTAAACGGTTTTATTTTTCACTTACGTAGAAACTATATTTAATACACATTTATGTTTTTGTTTATAATATTTATTGGATTTAATGAATTCCACAAACTACCTGAACTTTGCAGGTTATTGCTATCCGAATATAATAGAATAAATTTTTATTTTTTTTATTTTTTAATAATATCGGACACATTTTTTACACAACGTTCTCTAGTCTCAAACAAAGCAAAGCTTGTACTATGGGTACTAGATAAACTGATAAACATACTTTTCTTTTGTAAATAAATACATATTATACATATATAAACACCCAGATACTGGAAAAACACGATGTTCATCACACAATATTTTTCCAGTAGTGAGGATCGAACCCACAATAAATATATTATGCGGAAAATGAGAATTGATTTTGTAATCTAGTAATAACTAGAATTTTGATTAAGAACAGTGTTAAATTTGGTATTCCTTAAATTGGACTATTTAATTTAAGGCGACAGTCGTAATAATTATAACAAGTGCTAAAATAAAATGTAATTATGCAAATGCTAAATAAGTGCAGATGGTCAGTCGTGCTAAAATAAAATGTAATTATGCAAATGCTAATAAATAAGTGCAGATGGTCTGTTGTGCCAAATAAAAATATTTAAATCGTTCGCGATTGTTTACAATTGCAGGGGAAGGGGAAGAAGAACAAAAAGAACAAAATGCTGAAGGTGGACGCGCGCATCCTAGGTTTCTCGGTGACGGCGGCTGAGGATCGAATCAATGTCGGTGACATCGACACAGCCTAACTCTCTCGCCATAATTGTGTTCACTACAACTCGCCTTGTGATAACCTGTGTTGGTAATTCTAACTATAATTTAAATTAAAATTTTATTCTTCACGCGACTGTTGTGCGTGCAGCACGCTCCAAACGGCGCTCGTGGTGCACGAACTAATACCCGTGTACTATGACAGCAGTCAGTCGATACAGAAGAGGTACCTCGTAAATGCGAACTTTCTGTAGCTTGGCATAAGGTTCATATTGTCGAGTAAATCTAGCCTGTTTCGAGGTCCCCTTTGCATTTTTGGTATTATAATCGTAACGTTCCCCTTTCTCGCAGATTTTGTATTGTATAGTGATATAAAGTGCAATTTGACATATTTTTAGTAATACCTAAGTCGCTCAGATCAAGAAAGAATTATTTACAATATTGCTTTAGGCCACTAGGTACGCAATAAATATTGGACGTCATTTGTGTTAATAATTGTACTTATTACTTTTTGCTTATTATACAAATTTAGTGCGGTAATGTAATTCAGCAAAAGCAATAGCTCTTAGCATTAATAGGCCACAGCACGTGGACCATATTATATAGTGAATATATTTTACAATTGTTACTAATGTAATTAGTTGATCACATATTAAGTTGTAAAATATAAAACATGGACATGATTATAAACGTTGACTCGATGTTTGTTAATATTGGACATTAGTTGTTAAAAATCAAGATCATTTTGTATATTTTACATTTAACTTTATTGCTTCGCTCAAAACTACGCAGTTTTAGAATTAATTGTAAAACATAGGGTTTGACTTTTTTCTTATTTCAGTATATTATTTCTATTTTCCGATACAGCCAAAATATAACTTAAAAAATTGTATATTATTTATGTGCACATTTTGAACATATCAGCAGCTAAATGTATGTTGGTATTTATAAATTTCACCAAGTTTGCAGTATCTGCTGGATTCGTGTCTGATTAGTTAAGTCATTATTTTTTTAATTTACTTTTCGACATGCAGGTAGCATTGCCCGTTGCCGAACTTCCCCTACACCAAAATTGTAGATCATCATTGTTAAGTTGAACAACACTCGTCAACAAACTGTTCTCTTTTTGTACGTTTTTGTTGCATTTTTTTAACAAAGCAGTTGTAGTAAACTTAAACTGAAAGTATAAATTAAACTTTTTACAATAGTCACTTATTAGACTATGTGCTGATATTTAGCACTATGGTAACAACTTATGTAGTAAAAATTTATGTAGTAGAAATATTAGAATTATTGTAAATGTTTACATCCAATTTACAAGTTTTTTTCTAAATTAATCATATAGTAAACAGAGTTAAGTCAACCAGGGTAATTAATAGTTAAAAACAATTTTGAAAAATAACGTTACTCTATAAGATTAGAGAATTGCAAAAATATATTAGCCTCATATTAAATTAGGAAGACAAATTTATCCTTTGCTTTTGAAAAACCTGATAGAAAATTTGATTACAACTCGTCCTTCGTCCATTTGAAATTGATATTTGTAGTCATCGCCTACAAAATAAAACGACCCTTAGATTAATATCCATCAAACTAACACGAGTTTAATAAGAGTCATTTAGGCCTTACAAAACTTAATCGCGTCTGAAAAGTGAGTTGCGAGTACAGCTGGCGCGGTAATTGGAGAGCGTGTCACGCGCAAATAACATTGAAATCCAATGTTCTTCCCACGAAACTACATTTAACGCTTGTTTTGTCACTAACAAGAATTATTATAAGGTAATTTTTACTAAATTTTCCAAAATTGTCTGATTACATTTTAAAAAGACTGTGATGTTAGAAACAGTTTTAGCATTTGTAAACAAGACCATAGAAATAACCTCAGAAAGTATGTAATAACCCCCACATTAGTAAAATGGGGTGTGACTTGAGTACTGGTGTGCTTAAGTGTGCAGCGCATAAATAGCACGCACACGAGCAAGCAGTAACCTAGGTACTGAGCGGGTCACAAGGCAACCATTAATTCATAACTGCGCAGCGCATTGACGTTAACTTAGCTGCCGCCATTAACTTTTACGCGACCTATATACTATACCAACCATCACTATTTAAAATTACCCTAGTTGACGCTATGGTTACTATGTGTCACGAAAACGCAAGATTTTTTTTTACTAAGATGTTATTGTCAATTTTAACAAATTTTTATTGTCAGTACCACTTTAATGTACTGAATTGGTTAGCAATTGTAATGCCCCTAAATGTTCGAAAATATTTTACTGATGCGATGTTTATAATAGTTTTATGCTGTCTATTCACATGCGTTTCGGTTTTTAATTCAATACTTTTAACCTATTATAATGTGTTTTTATGATGTTTTCTTTTAAATGTAAATACTCACGACACATTTTTGTTATATACTAGGTCATCAATTGTAAATAATGCGTTTGTTATTGAAGTGTGTTTTCTCTAGCTCATGTTTATTGTTGTCAGTAATGAATGAATCATAGCTTCGAAATTCGTTCTGCTTACTGCGTCACCATTGGAGATTGGATACTGTAATATTTGCATCGTTTTCATACTGCAATCACCTTTGTTTAGTTTATTTAAATGTGCATAATTACTGTTTGCTTGTCTGTTTTCCACTGATCCTGTCATCAATGCCACTCGAATTAAGTATATCGACATTGCTTTTGGTTTTAATAAAAACCACGTATACAGCTTGAGATTAAGGTGCAATATTCAAATAACTCACTCTAGATGTATAAATATATATTAGACATTATTTGTTCATTAATTAGTTTAAATTTATTTGTTTAATATGTAAATGATTTGTTTTAGAATCTTTGCTTTTATAATGTTAACACCTTGTCTTCTACTCTAAATAAATTATTTTGACAATTCGATAGGTTATATACATTAAAATTGAATTTAATTCAATAGGGAAAATATTAATGTATTTATATAGCTGCTCTGTTGGAAACTGATTTTATGGCTATATTACTTTTATTTATTCAAACCACCTAAAAAAAATTGTTCATGCATGTTTAAAAACTACAAAACTATTTTAGTGATAACAATAACAATCTAGTCTTTGCACACAGTTGCGAATTCAATGAAGGTAAAAGCGTAATTTTTCATGCGTATATAAATCGAATTTTTATCAAGTGCATTTAATAAGAAGTATATAAATCAAAGATAGAAGTCAGTCAATCTAGAGAGTTTTGTTTTTTCCTACTTACTTATTTTTTCTTAAAATCAAAAATGTTTTGCACCTGCAGATACCTACTTTCAATTGTTAAAATGGTCGATAATAATAACTTTCGCATAAAAATGCTATCCGTCATGTGTTATATAATTGCATGCACCTAATTATACTAATAACATACAGAATGAATTTTTGTATGTTTGTAAATGTCATTAAGAATGTGTTCTCCAATATAGTATATTAACAAACTAATATGGGAATATGAGTTATTTATATTTTTTTCTACTAACACTCACTGGGAAATAGAATGATTGTTAATTGAATAATCTTAGTGAATTTGTGCTTTCATAGTTCTGTCCGTTTATATAACTTGTTGATATTTGTAATCTACAAAATATTTTTACACAGGTTGTATTGTTAAATTTTTTCTCACATTTCCATTCTGTTCCCACTATGAATAACATGGGGTTTTGAGAACAATCGAAAAACGTTTATAACTTACAACATCAAATATGCATTTTAACTAGACCTAACTATAATAGTCTACCGTACATTAACATTTTTATACATGTTTAATGTTTCTGGTCTAAAATAGATATAGCATCCCCATGTTATTGTAGACATTTCATCGAATGTCGCCATTGTTAACTATATTTTGCAGCCTTTATAGCTTTATATTCTCGGTTAGAGAAAGTTAAGTAAAGCCATCTATATGAATAGTGAAGTTCGTATCTCCTAATGGATGTTAAATGTTTGAAATAATTATATATTATAAACAAATTTAAATACAATTTTAGAGTAAAATAAATTAATTGACCTTTGATTTAAGCTTTTTTCTATTCCCGATTCTGTCACTTCGTTAAACAAGAAATATGGACAAAATGACTTGTTCGAAGAAATGTTTTTCTGTTCTCCCGATTTACGAATGAAAATAACATAAATCGCTGTGAGCGTTTAACAGGGGATCTGCTAGAATATTCAACATTGTTTAATATTGGATTTCAACCAAAATAAAGTTGAGAAGATAAATGTTTTATGGATCCTTTTTTATGTTATTTTAGGAGCTAAATTGTTGCTTAACTTAAAAATATCACCTATATACTAATTTCAAAGGATGTTTGTGGGGTATTGATGAAAACGGAATCCGCCATTGTACAATATTGGTGAAGTAAGGTATCTTAGAAGCATTTAAGATAACTGGGAGTGAAATAAAAAAGAATTACAAATTTTTTGTTTATTATTCCTAACTACAACCAAATCACAACAAATTCAAGAATATTCTAAGCTTGTGAAATTTATCTATAGCGCATTTTAGTAATTTAACAACGACATCTAGTTTAGGCGCAGGAACTAATTTCTTTTCCTAATGACTTACGTAGTACTATTTGATTTTAAGGCCCTTTTATATGATGCCATTTGTACATAGTCTTGTAAATAGTTCTTCTTGTTACAAGAGCAATAATTGAATGCAATAAATTAAGCGTAATAATTGTAAGCAACACGCAGATATAGCAAAAAAAAAATTAATGTTATTATTGAATGCCAGTCTTGACAAAAATAATTGCAAATATTATCTTTTGTTAACACTAATACAATTTTGTTTACTAGATTATCGTTTTCAAGTTTTAACTTGCCTAAACACAGGCTTGTACATGCGTGTACCATTTATTGCCGGGATGCTACACTAAAAGTATTGCACGTATTTGCGTTGGCGAATCTTCTGTTGAATGTTTTATAAAGGGCTGTTTATGAAAAAAAAAACGTGTTAATAAAAAGTGTTAAAATTAGATTCTGGTGTTTATTAAATTTCATAGAGATTTATCAATTGTT